ACACACACACAGACACACACACACACACAGACACACACACAGACACACACACACAGAGTCACACTGAGTCAGGTAGATTGTGCAGAGATATTCATGGGACCTTGTTTTTGTTTCTTTCTGTTTACCGTGCATTGATTTATTGATTTATTGATTTATTGATGTTCACATGTTCAGGCTTAATAAAATGTAAGAATGATTTAAAAGGTTGTTCTGAAGCACTGCAGGTCCTCTAACGTCCAGCAGGGGCAGCAGTGAGTCAGTCCCCATAGAGTCCCATGTTAAAACATAAAACAAACAAGTTCACAGCCAGATACACAAACTGTTCGGTGGATCATTTCTCCCTTCATATCACCTGTATGGGGGGGAACCTATCCAAAACCCACCTGTTTAAAGCTTGCATTATTAGGGGCGTGGCCTCTGGACTGTGTTTGTGCTGTTATTAGCGTGGCTGCTGTGTGGTTCTCTGCAGTAGTGGGGCTCATGTTTTAAATTAGCACGTATCTCTGTGATGCTCCCAAACAGTCTGCACTAACCAGGCTGGCAAGGATCAGCTGTCATAACTCCACCCTCTCATCTAAATATGGTCACTAAAGGAAGCAAAGCCCAGCATGGAGCTGAGGGTCACTGAGCCTTCAGGACCCCAGTTTGGCTTCACATAAATTATTTTAAAGGTGACTTTAGAAAACTCTAAAAATATGAACTACAAAATGACGTTAGCAGGAGCAAAGTGATGAAATAAGACACCTGAGAGAGCGAGCAGGTGGCTGCAGGTATGACAGGTGAAGCAGCTCTAATCCTGCTAAGAGGATCAGTCTGCACACACACAGAGTGTAAGCTGGCTTTGCGTGCTGAGGATCAGCGTCGTGGGTCTGATGAGTGGAACTGAGGCATAATGGGAGCAGGCGCCGACTCGACGGGGACGAACCCCCCAAAACACCCTGACCTCTGAACCCGAGACACACAGCGAGCACGGTAAGTGTGTGTGTCTGTGTGTGTGTGAGAGTGTGTGTGAGAGAGTGTGTGTGTGTGTTACTGATATCATAGAGAAATCTGTTTGGCAGATCTCAGTGAGACACGTTGACCTCAATGACAGTTTGACAGAATCTGAAGGAACCGATCACATGTGTGTGTTCGTGTGTGTGCGTGTGTGCATCTGTGTGTGCGTGTGTGCATCTGTGTGTTCGTGTGTGTGTAGGTGTCATGGATGCCGTAGATCCATCTCCTCTGCGACGTTTCGTCATTGCGAAACATTCGATCACCTCCATCTTTGACCAGCTGCTGGACTTTGTGAAGGATGGCTGCGCCTTTGTGGATGGTGAGAAACACACACACTCAGAGCTGTAGGTGCTGTGATGGTGTATGTTCGTACAAACCGGTCTGCATGCTTCCTGGAGTCGTTCTCAGCATCAGGTCAGAAATGGGGACGAGCGTGTGCTGCCACAGATGCAGAGCCTGCAGCCTCTCTGCTGACCGGCACGCACCTCCTGCTCTGTCTTTAAATAAAGTCTGGCTTCTCTCTGTGTCTGATGCTGCAGTGGCCACAGAGCGGACGCCAAAGGTCATGCCGTTCAGTACGCAAGTAGCCTTTGATGCCCTGACATCAGGAACATCTGAAGCTCCTCTCAGGAAAACTCGCTGTCATTTTCATTGTCAGTTTACTCGCTGTGTTTGTTTGATGTCAGAGGCGTGGCACAGCGAGGACCTGGGTCAGGTGGCCGTGGAGGAGCAGAGTTTGGAGATGCAAAGCTGTGCCATCAAGCTGACGACCATCAGAGACGTCCTGCTAAGGAGACACATGAAGGTGGCGTTTTTTGGCAGGTGAGCAGTTTACAGAAACTGCAGAATATAGGCGGGTGAGCCTGCACACAGTAGAAAACCTTGATGTAGCTTCCAGGGTGGAGAAATGAAGCCAAGGTGCTGCATTCTACCTGAAGGCCACCAGATGGAGACAGCTACTAGTTATTTGCAAAGTGTGACTCTGCCCACATTATATCACTTCACAAAAAGTTTCAGTAACAGCAGAGTATAACAGTGAACGGGAGCTAACAGGCGCTAACAAGAGCTAACAGGTGCTAACAGGCGCTAACAGGCGCTAACGGGGGCTAACAGGAGCTAACAGGCGCTAACAGGCGCTAACAGGGGCTAACAGGGGCTAACAGGCGCTAACAGGAGCTAACGGGGGCTAACAGGAGCTAACAGGAGCTAACGGGGGCTAACTGTTAGCAGTGACCGTGGTCCACTTGATGCAGTGACTACAGAGACTGAAGTTTGTTTTATTGACCTAATATACTGACAAGCATTCAAACATTTTCATATCTTGCCCAGTATCAACTGAGGGTTGTTGATAACATAAATATATCGTGTTGCGTGATGTTGTGGAGAATGCCATCGTTACTCTCCGCAGCATTAGTAAACACACTCAGAGGGCCTAAGCTAACGTTCATCTTCAGCCTTGCCGTGCCCAGTTTCTCCACATAATGAGTAAGATGCTTGTACTTCCTCTGAGAGAGAAAATACACTTGTTTGTTTACTCATAGTTGCCGCAGTTTATCTCGTCTACATGATGCTCAGTTGGTTTCTTATCATGTCCAAAATGGCCGACAAGTTACTGTCACGTGCCAAGGAGTCACATCTCTGCAAAGCCTCTGTTGGTGCCCTAATCTGTGAGCCTGGTTCTGCTCACGGTTTCTTCCTGTTAAAAGGCAGTTTTTCCTTCCCACCATTGCCAAAGTGCTTGCTCATAGGGGGTCACATGATTTCTGGTTTGCTTCTGTATGATTGTAGCATCTCTGAAGCTATCCGGTTGTTCAGTCTGACGTCACTAGCCGTGTCTGGG